CTTACTCGTGGCCGCAACGTCCCATCTGTCTAATTTCATTGCAACAACATAAATAAAAAAACATTCCTTTTTCTATCTCTATACCAAGGAATAAATGTTCATAACTAAATCTATTATTAGCTAATGTGGTATATAGGGACATAATATATCACACATAACTATCATTATTTATTATTAAATGATCATACGTATTAGTCATAGAGAGTTTGGAACTTTTTCCTACACTTCTTTATATTAATACGACGCATGATGGACTTGGCTTGAATATTTCAAGTTATTGAATTTGATGGGTAGATGGATTCATGAAGGATTGATGAGCTTAAAAGTTGAGATTGGACTGGATTAGAGAAAGAAATGACCTTTAATAAATTATCATCAATTATATGTCTACAGTGTAATTCAAGTGTAATATAATTAATTATTTTAGTACTATTGACTCTATTACAAAGTAATATATATCTGATATGTTCTATACTTTTCCTATTGATCCGTTGAAGCCCAAATAGTTAATATCCTACATCTGTGGTTTGATCATATGACCTTCCCTTAAAGAGAGCCACAAAAGTGTCATCTGAGTCAAGGTGCTTGGTAAGTGTAATGTAATAATTAGCTAAATAATGGAAGTTTGGTAATTGTACAACTATAAAAGCTCCTATAAACAACGGTCTTATTTTCGTGGTAACATACTATGTCATCTAGAGCAACACAATACACTATTTCCCAACATATATGTTACGTTACTTTCATACTGTAATATAATCTAGTCCTCATAATTCTCAAATTTACCTTAAAATGGAAAATTTGAATTTTATTAACGTGTTTAATAATTTAATTATAACTTTTATGCACCAATTGTTACTAATAACTTAACACAACTTTTTAAAAAGATGAAACATACTTCATGTCTTGCGGCGAGAGAAATTGAAATATTGAATGCACAAACTTGTGAAAGACGCAAAAACAGCCCATCAGCTCGCCGCCCTTGAAACTTCATTGCACCCCTCTCTCTTGCTAGTTTTCTTAGTTCACAAACAATCCTAAGCTTTATTGATTATTATTGATGTGTTTGGTAAATAGCTGATAGTTGTTAGCTGATTGAGTTAGTGGTAACATTAGTTGATTGTAGAATGATATTTGTTAAATTAGTTGTTAACTTGATAGTTGATTACATAATGTAAATGACTTTTTCAAAAACTTGATAAAAAAAAGTTATTTTGAGTAGCTTTTTTGAGTTTAAGCTAATTAATCAAACACTCATATTGATTGTTTAACCAAGTAAAACAACTAATAGTGGTCAAATGTGTCAAAATTGACTGATATGCTAACTATTTTACCAAACAAAACCTAAATGGTGTTGTTGTTGTTGTTGTTGTTATTATTATTTTTTTGGAAAAAAAGGGGTGGGTAGACCCAACAAGATTAAGACCTTGTGCCTTCAAAAAGCACCCGGTCATTCCTCAACATCTCTATAATGCTATCTGGCGGCACATTAACTCTATCCAGTTGCAGTGCTTTCTAATCGCCATCTTAGCGAGCACGTCGGCAACTGTATTATTTCTTCGCGGTGTATGTGTGATGTCGACATTCCACTCTATTTCAAGCCATTCTTTGCACCATCTGACCAAATCCCCGCAATGTCCTAGGGGTTCAGTCTCACCGATAAGCCAAAGCTTTGCTTGTAGAGAGTCCGTTATCACCTTGATCCTTCTCTGGCCAATCTCCCGAGCCCATTTTTATGCCTAGGTAGATTGCCCACAGTTCTCCTTCTGTAGCATTGCCAACCTTTGCGTGCAGCTGAAACCTCCCATCCAATCTCCATCCTGGTTTCGCATATCTGCACCACATCCTGCCAGTTGCTCCTCCGAAACGAAGGGTTGTTGTTATTATTATTAGTATTTGGTAAAGGATTCAAAGATCTTTGCTATTTAAATCATAAATTAGAAGCTTACTAATTAAATATCGAACTATATATTATTAGACCTTATCGAACTAATCAATGGAGGTATTTGATGTAATAGGGTTATCCCCTTCCTATAAATAAAAAATATATATAAGAGGAAATTATTATAATGCCTGTTACTACTCATAGTCACTATTCGTAGATTTGCATTGGACAAATTAAATCCCACACAGAAAAGATAAATACACATGCTTGTCAAAGGAATTGGGAAAAAAGATCCATTTAATACCCAAAGTACTAAAACCCCATTGAAATATCTGAATTCTGAACATCAACATCATTTTATGTTTCCAGTCGTCAAATGATCAAAACCATTGAAATCTTATACAGTTGAAAATATATTTACACAAATTTTAACCGTGTGGGACTAATTAAAACGATTAATTACGTATCAAATAAAAATGCTGTTTTGCCTAGCTATTATTTATTATTATAGTATTATTATGACGATGACTATATGGTACATTGGTACTGCATGCTGTCTATTTCACAAACGACTTTGAAAGAAAGAAAGGAAAGTTAGATAAGTATAATTGAGGTGTTGAAACTTTGGTAGCATAATTAATTTGGTTACGCAGTCACCCCAACTGCCCCATAAACAAGTATAGAAGCTTTAGTTTTGGTAAGTGAGTGAGATTATATTATATTGTTTTTCCAAAAAGGTTGAATTCGTAACTGCGGCCCGACAGAACATTTAGGGAAGGTAAATTATGGTAACTCATCAGCTGCCTGTCACTGGTGAGACTCGATCTCGAGTCATTATATTGTTCCCGAACTTCACCCCTATGACCAACTGAACTAAGATTTGCTTACTGCATACAAGGAACTCCTATACTTTGAGAGGTTACGTTGCACCTACAATGTCGCTGGTGAGACTCGATCCTAAGTCATTATATTGTTCTCGAACTTCACCCTGTGACCAACTGAGATATTATGTTATATCTATAATAATAGTAGAGGGCCCTGCCATGCATGCATGCATGCATTATCTCATCGATCATCTTTCAATTAACCCATCCATAACCACAACTCTTCAATGTTAAAAAAGTCTATTTTGATTAGGGAGGGCCATAGCTGACAGCTGCCCCAGTACGTACTTCCACACAACATCTCATTTTGCTACCAATTATTATGCTGTGATTTGCAGAAACTCTCAATTCAAAGCCGGAGTAAGCGTTTTCATGTTTTGGAAATATTTGGTGTGATCCAGGAATCTTTCGAATGTTTTGAATGGATTTTTGTGGGTGGATGATCTGAGACCGACAGAATTTGGTCTAGGATTATAAGCCGTTCGTTGGCTATTTTGGGGTTTTTCCCTCATTTGTATTTCCGAAAAAATATTAAATTTATGCAAATGGTTACCTTAAGAGTTAATATTCAATATAGTCCCCCAAATGGTTACCTTGTTATTAACAGTCAACAAACGAAATTTTTAATAGATGACTAAAGTGTGTAAAATCATTAAAGTCGATGATTAAATAGAGTATAAAAAGTCATTTAGAACTAAATTAAGTAAAACTATTATAGTCGAGGATTATATTGCATATTAACTCGTTACATTATTATTTGGCAAATGTATAAATGGTTTACATAGGATCGAATTTTCACACTCTTTGATAATATTTTATTTTCTCCAATATTTTTGTATTTAATAATAAGAATTTACCATTTTAATAATTAATTATAAAAGATACTTTGTGTTTAAAATTTTAAATAATTTGAGCATCATTATTATTTTATTATTTGGTACAATTTTTCGCACATCACGCATATATTACTTACTAGTGTGTGTATATAATATCAAGTGAGAACCACATATTACTTATTTTATTATTTGGCACAAGTTTTTCGCACATCATATCACGCATATATATTACTTCTGATTTGGGATAATCAACCATTGTTATACGATGGATAATGGTCCCTACAATTGTGTGGATCATGGTCTCAAAATGACATTGTTTCTTTAAATAAAGAAATGGCGGTCCATTACCGGAAATTATGAAATTTTCGACCACCTGAAAGTGATCTTAAATCAAGTTGAAACCAAAAAGAGATCGAAAATAGCAACAAAGGTTTTTCCGGATACCAAAAATGGTCGGAACAAGGCTTTCGACTTGATTTAAGATCACTTTCTTGTGGTCGAAAATTCCATAATTTCCAGTAGTGGTCATTATACTTAACAAATCCTATATTTATGATGTGTATGTTAAGAACAAAATGAAACTACTATAGTGTATCTAAAATGAAATTGAATAACTTGTCTCACATATTGTGTTTATATTAACAAATGGAACTGTAATTGGTTGAAATGATACTTTAGTTGTGTTGAAACGAAACTACAGTATGTATTAAAACCGAATAACATGTCTCACATATTGAATGTATATTGTCAAATGAAACTATAGTTGATCGAATTGAAATGATACTTTAGTTGTGTCGAAATAAAACTACAGTATGTATAAAAAGAAACTGAATAACATATCTCACATATCGAGTGTATATTGTCAAATGAAACTATAGTCAATTGTATCAAAATTAAATGATAATTTAGTTGTGTTGTAATTAAACTACAGTGTATATAAAACTGAATAACAGTTTTACATATTTGAGTGTATATTGTCCAATGAAATCGTAATTGAATTAGAATTATAATTTAGTGGTGTTGTAATAAGACTACAGTGTGTATAAAATGAAATTCAAAATTCAATAACATGTCTCACTGTAATAAGACTACTGTATATATGTATACTGTAGTTGAAACAAAATGAGACTTTAGTTGTGATAAAATGAAGCTATACAATGTATATAAAATGAAATTAAATATGTTATACAAATTAAACAGATACACAGAACGAATGTTATTTCTTTTCATTAAAAGAAATGACACAGTTTTGGACTATGATTCAGATCAGAGTAAAATTTGCTGATGATCAATTAAGCATTGAAAAATGAAAATTTGAATAAAGTTGCCACAAGCCCACAAGCGAAGTCACACGTCTTCATAGTTCATTGTATATTATATTATATTATTCCACCTTCCTACGTACTAAAACTAAACCACCAAGACTTTGTTATCTAGTTTTCTAGTCGTCTACTATTCACACTTCATCGTCTTTACCTCGATCACCACCTCATTCCTCTTTATCTTCGTATGCAATATTTCCAGACCACTTCACTCTCTCCCTCACCTTAACACCACTTCCAGAAAAAAACAACATCATCGTAACAAAATATCAAACAGGTTATTCTTCCTTAATTTCCACGAAAATAATGGAGGTTTTCTTTCTCATAGCTTTGTTATTGTTTACGGTTCAAATGATGATCGAGCCGTCACGTGCCGCCATCGACACTTTCGTCTACGGCGGCTGCTCGCAGATTAAGTTCACGCCGGGGACGCCGTACGAGTCGAACGTCAACTCGGTCCTCACCTCGTTCGTCAACTCAGCTGCCACCGCCAACTTCAACAACTACAAGATATCCGTGCCGGGCTCCTCCCAGAGCGACATTGTTTACGGCCTTTACCAGTGCCGCGGCGATCTGGGCAGCGCGGATTGCCGGAACTGCGTGGGCCGGGCGGTGAGTCAACTCGGGATGCTGTGCGTCGACACCTCCGGCGGCGCGTTGCAGCTCGACGGGTGTTTCGTGAAGTACGATAACGTCTCGTTCCTCGGGGCGGAGGACAAGACGGTGGTGTCGCACAAGTGTGGGCCGCCGATCTCGTACGGCTCCGACGACGAGACGCGCCGGGATGCCGTGCTGTCGTATCTGACGGCCGGGGGACAGTACTTCCGGGTCGGTGGGTCGGGGCGGGTCCAGGGTGTGGCGCAGTGCACGCAAGACCTGAGCCAAGCGGAGTGCCAGGATTGCTTGTCGGACGCCATCGGACGGCTGAGAAACGAGTGTGGCTCCGCGCCGTGGGGAGATATGTTCCTGTCCAAGTGCTACGCGCGTTACTCGGAGCGTGGGTTCTCCTCAAAAAGCGGTAAGCGGTTGTCGCCGGCGACGGTTTGTGGCTTTTTGCTTATTTTTGGTTTTTCATTTTTGACTTAATTTATCTCATTATCACTCATGAATTTCATCACTTTTTTTTTTAAATATTATTTTATCTTTTTTTTTTCTTTCAAGTCTAATCAACTTGATTGTAAATCAAGGTATGTGAAATTCTATGAAAATTTCATGCTTGTTTAAAACATATTATGATATTTTATCAAACTCTAACATGCATTTATTCACATCTCATGTGCCCTAAAACAAGTCAAAACATATTAAAAGAAGTTATCGAGAATGTTTTTCACGGAACTGAACTGAAAATTATACTATATATTGTTTTTTATATATATATTCTAGTATTTTACGTGGTGTATATCGTTTGGACATTATTTTTAGTATGCTAAGTTATTGAGGTAAAGGTAGAAATAAAGTATAGCTCTTGATCCATTCAATACAAGATAGGAGGGAAAGTGGAAATAGAATCCCCCAAGGGACTCAACTTTCTCTTTTCATTAAAAAATACAAGATTGATGATTGATGAATGGTAGTTCTCATCCATCTCCAATCTTTCTTTTGATTCTTTATTCAAAAGCAACCACCACTATCCCATACCCCATACCCCCCACCCAACCCCACCCCACCCCACATTTTCACCACAATCATATATCAACCGCTCTAACTGGTCCAGAAAAATAAAAACTGTATTTACCAAATCACAATCTTGTCACTATTCTTATTCTCGTATGATTAATCAGTTTGTCAAACAATCTGATCTGTTAGTTTTTTATTTCGTAATTTATGATCTCGTATAAAAGAAAAAAATAATGACTAAGACTAAATAAGATATTTTTAGATAAGATGAGAAAATTTGAAATTCCAATTAAAATTATTATTACTCCTATTAAAAAAGACAACTTGACATTCCTTACAAAGCAAAAGAGTATGGATTTGGATATTGGATATGTTTAGTCCTTGCAAGAATAAAAAATGGACATATTCTATTGTAGCCAAGATAATTCACTATTATTGCTACAAATAACAAAAAGTTCAACCAATTGCACATGCCATGGTTGGCTTCCTTTACTTTGTATTTTACCAACCGCAATGGGCCAATATAATTTCCAAGAAACTTCACCAAATTCTAGCCTTGACCAAATAACATGTCACCAAATCTTGTACTTTCTTGAGAACAAGCAATGTAGTACCACAAGTGGATGGATTAATATTATTATTATTTTCTCCTTGGTTTATAATGAATCACTTTGGCAATGAAATTATTAGTTGTAACCTCCAATAATATAATAGAAATATTCTCGATTGTTGACCTAAGAAATAAGATAAGACTTCTAGAAAAAAATAATTATTAGAAATGCCTAATTTAAAAAAATATTATGTTGTCGCTTGATGTACTGCAAAGTAGGTTTATAGTTGGATATGATTGATCGTGTAACTAATAAGTATAGAGTGTAACGTAACAATTAAATAAAATAGTGTTTGTATAATCTGTATCGATTAGATATGTGTAAGAATCAATTCAATTAAAAGAACCGAGAAATTAAATTGTGTGAGGAAGTAATTAAGGACTAATGTCACTCTAATTTGCAGATGATAACGATGAAGAAGTTGAGAGAACACTTGCAATCACAATAGGACTCATTGCTGGTGTGGCTGTACTGGTTGTTTTCCTCTCTGTTTTGAGCAAACTTTGTGAACCAAAAGGTAATTTGCCACTCTTTCTTTTAAATATATACTTACTTTATATACATACATATGTGTGTGTTTATCTCTATGCATGTGTGTATGGAGAACTTTAAAGTATCAAATAATCAACAATCTTTTGACTATATATTCTTCCAATAGTTTAATCAACAATCTTTTGACTATATATTCTTCCAATAGTTTAAATTATAAGTTATATAGGTTGTGTTTACTTTTAACTCTTCAACTCTTTAATTTTTCATTTCACCATTTTCTTTAATATACGGGAAAGGCTGTTGCCACTACTCAAAATTGCACTTTGGATGAAATCCACTTTATAATAACCCTAATCAGCAAAGGAGGTATACCGTATACCAGCCTAGATTATCCATAGTTGACCGATTCAAACCAAAAACGTCAATAAGTAACTTTTACGGGGCATTGAACTTGGAACTTTGTGGTTACCAAGTCAACTGGATACCCGGCTAACTTGAAGATTATATATGATATATGATATAGAAAGGTGAGATTGGAATTTGAGCCTTCTTTATTTTGAATTTGCAGGTGGAAAATAAAGAGCATTTTGTGGATATACTAGTAAAGTGTATGTTGTTGCATCCTTTGGGTAAATTGTTTTGCTTTAGGTGCTCTTTTGCTTTTGTATTAGTATTATTATTATTATTGGCCTAGCTACTTTGCTCTTTTTAATGTGCTTTTTGAAGAGTTCCCCCTTAGCTTCTTGTATGGACTGTAAAGAGGTACATTGAAACAAGTGAAGTAATTAAAGGCTGTTGAAATAACACATATGAGATCAAACTTAGACACCGTACCCCACTTGCTATTTCTCATTTATTTGTGTATACATACTTTAAGTTTATGTCAATCTATTTGCAGCTAAAGATGGGCTCTTCACTTTAGGGCATGATGCCAAGGCCACTTTTTTTCTTTTCTAAAATGTGCATAGTTACTATCCCCTTTCCCTTTTGATGTCTTCTGATATGAATAGCTTATTCCAAAGAATGGTTTAGTGAAGAAAGTGAGAGAATTGACTAGAATATATTTGAATGAACATAAATTTATGTATGCTAGCAGCTGGTGTAATTTAATTAGTAACATAATGGGAGAGTATTTGGATATCAGCTATTTTAATTTTTAGCTTATTTAACCAATTTTGGTTGATTGACATAAAGAGATTTTATGATTTGCACCTGCATCGGTTTATTTATAGATTGTAGAGTGACACTTAAATTTAAGAAGTTTTTCTATTTCCCCCCTCAAAATATGACTATTGAAAAACACAGAGGGAGGATATATATAAAAATTGACCTTCAAAGAAAAAAAGGCAAGGGCAAATAAGTAATAATAATATTTTTCTTTATCTTTAATTTCTTAGCTCCAACTAAGTGGAAAAGAAGGCATGTAATGACATGTCCTTCTTCTCCCCCGACTAAATGAAAAAGAAGACTTGTAACAACCTGGTGGAGATAACCCCAACATGCATCCATATATCTCTTTCTCGATCTCTAATCGAAGAATAATGTGAAATATTTTCTCCAGCTACTAGACTAGTACGTATTCTGTACCAAGACAAGTGAAAATTGTAAGATCATATCTACAGTTTGAAGACGACACATTAGTTAATTAGTTAAAACCTAATATGGTTATTGAATATATGAGGGTGATGATACTATATAAAAGAAGATATATAGCAACATATTATAAAGTTTTAGTAACTTTGATATGATGAGTTGAGGTGAGGATGTTCGCCCTAAAACTTTAAGTGCAAAATGTTATGTTTGGTATATTAGTTCTGTTTATTATGCATGTGATAGTACTATGTAACCTCTTTATTAGCAGAGAGTTGTTGGATGTTCAAGACTAAAGCCAAACAACTAAAAAAAAAATCAAGAAAAGATATTCAAAGTTTGACCAAGAGGAAAGATTAATAATAACTTCAATAACAAATACTCATAGATGTCCCAAGTTTTGTACGTGGATACCTTTATCTAATGTAAAACTCATCACTTCTCATTTTGATGTGAGACACAGACTACTTTCAAATATTTCTAACTCCATTTTTCAACTCAAATTAGTCCATTTTAAGAATCAATTTCTTATTCCACGTACAATATATCAATTTTTTCGTCTCAAGAACCCGAATTCACTATAACTCGACCAAAATCGAGGGTAGACCCTACATATATTTGTACCACACAGTAGCTACTTAATTAAAATATCATTTTTGCTGAAAATTTCCAATATATATATGTGATTTGTTATAAAATAAAACAATAATACATACATTCCACACATGTAATATATGAAGTGCGATTTATATTTAAGAATTTGTACCCTAAATTATTGACTACATTTTAAAATAAATTTGAGTTTTTTTAATGATATGGTATATAGAATATTCAAATTAAAGGGCAATGTTAAGAATATAATCTCAAGATTGGAATGATTGAATCCATGTATGTATTTTATTGGGAGCTAAATCTATCTAATATATTCCTTCTTCTCATTAAAAAGAAAGAGAGAAATTGTGTAGAATCTTAACTTTTTCATTATTCTATACTTTTGTACATTGAATTAAATTAAATAATAGTACATATAGTACAATAGTAACAATTTTATTTTTAGGATATTCCTTTGCAATCATGCTGATTAAAGCTAAACCCTCATTTTAAAAATGAATTTGTGGGTGATGATAAGATGCTAGATTTAATTAATGGGATTAGAGAAAAGGGTTTGTATATTCCCATAACAAAGCATAAAGCATTAGATATCATGATATCATTAATTAGGTCATTACCTTAAAAAAGAGGGACATGATAAAGCTAGATGATGGCATGGGCTATTGAAAAATATAAAATTGATATGATTCATTCAATTTTTTTGTTGTCAGTGTGCTTTGTCTACAGTCCATTGCATACAAATTAGTGGGATGAAATAACATTAATCCTACCGCGATTTGGACTAGTTGAAAAATAAATTGTTAATGTAATTGTAAAATCAAAAATAAATAAAAGTCAGTTTCTGTGAGCACGATTCAGAATTCCTTTTTAATATAAAAGAATAGCCAAACCGACCCCATTGGCACGGCTAGTCGATCTCAGAGATCCTACGAAGGTGTTGTCAGAGTTATCTTAGGGTTCAATGGCAACTATAATCTATAAAGAAGAAAGGAAGATGAGCTTTGTTTATGATTGAAAGAAGAAATATAAAAATTACAAGTTTATTCTCATATTTAACGGTTGGTGGATGGAAACCTAACTGGAAGACTACATCGAGTAAAGTCACAAAAATTTAAGACTAAAGTATGTCACAATAGTTGAATATGACTAAATCGAGAAATTCATTATAGCTAATGACTATTTTGAGTATTAATAAACGTTTTAATATACATTTCTTTAATATTTAGAGTGTTACATCTTGAAATTCGTAATATATAGGGCTCTTATGAGGTTGTCTCAGGGTATCATATCATATGTGATTAATTTAAGGCATTTGCATTTTATTCTATTTAGTTCTCAAAAAAAAAAAAAAAAAAAAAAAAAAAAAGCATTTTATTCCAATAGTTATGTTGTGGAACCGTGTTCACCATGCGCATGGTGAACACGGGATAGATCCATAATTTTTAAGCTGTAAATTTATAATTTCTATACTGTAGATTCATAACATCTATAATGTAGATTCATAATTTTTAGATTCATAATTTCTATATTGTAGATTCATAATATCTGTATTGCGAAGACGAAATAATGCGATTGCGAAAAGAAAAACGTCGTTAATAACAAATGAAAAACAAAATTATAAATCTACAGCGTAGAAATTATAGATCTACCCCTGTGTTCACCATGCGCATGGTGAACTGATTTCCACAGCATAATTTGCGATTTTATTCTATTTGGGCCAAAATGACTTCACTTGTATTATAATTATAATTGGGCTAATATTTCAAAATGGGTCTACTTTAATGGCTTGTCTGTGTAGTAAGTATGGACTTTCTTTTTTAAATATTAGTTTTATTGGTAAAAATGATCTTAAATTTGAACTTACAGCCTGATTTGTGAAAAGAATCGAGAAAGAATTGAACTTAAATTTTATAAATAAAAAAAATTTTATTGATTCATTGTTTGGTTGATAAAAAATTTAATTGTTAGAAATAATTAGTATAAAGATTCAATTGTCTATATATAGTAAAGATATATGAAGGTAATATAAGAATTGGTATTGTAACTTTCATTCAGAAAGATGTGGAAAATAAAATATTAAAAGAGAATAAAAATTTCATGTTCCATTACAATAAATTGCCTCCAAAAAGATGAAAATAGGTTCGGGTTAGCTCCATGCATTCACGCCATTTTTTCTATTAAAGAAAATTATTATATTGCAACACATGACAAAGTTATAGTTTCCATCAAAAGCTGCCACGTGTAACATTCGTAGCAAAACGTGTGCATGAACATGTCATCTAATTGCCACTTGGCAACTTCTCCCGTCTGCTGACTCATCACCAATTCCATTCCTCTTTGCCTTCTTATAACAGTACTGCTGTCAGATGCACAATATCCTGAACAAAAACAATATAACCAAAATTCTAAAATAAAAATAAATCAAACAGTGCATATATATATGGCGTTAGAGTGGGTGGTTGTCGGCGCGGCGGCCGGCGCAGAGGCGGTGATGGTCATTCTACTCACCCTTCCGGTAGGGAATCCTCTGCGGAAGGGTCTAATCTCCGGCACCCGCAGCCTCCTCAAACCCTTCCTCTCCGTCGTCCCCTTCTGCCTCTTCTTGATCCTCGACATCTACTGGAAACACGATGCTCGCCCGAGGTATTGTTGGACTGATATAATTCTGATTTATTATTTATTAATTATTATTTGCTGTCATTAATTCTTTTTTTTTATCTCAGTCAAAGATCTTATCAAGGATTCTATTTTAATTATATTTTATAACTTTATATCTCAATTATTTATTTATTTTACAGGTGCAAGTTGACGGGGGAGGTGTGCACGGCGGCGGAGCAGCTGCGGTACCAGAAGTCGGTGGTGAAGAGCCAGCGGAATGCGCTGCTGGTGGGCGCCGCCTTGGTGTTCTACTGGCTGCTCTACTCCGTCACCAATATGGTGGCGCGGATGGAGAAGCTGAGCGAGCGAGTTGAGAAGCTCGAAAACCAGGAATGAGTTGACCCGGTCGAGTCGAGAATTCAATTCTATTAATGTTATGTATCACCAAACGCTGCGTTGTTGACTCAGCTTGAGAATTCAATGCAATTAAAATCACCAAACATTACGTCGTTGACTTTGATGAAATCGTGTAGATTAATTTCGGTTATTATTATTATTGAGAATAATAATAATAATAATAATAATAATTATTATTATTATTATTATGCACATATATAACATTTGATATGATATAAAATGTATTTTTTGTTTTGAATATTTATTAAATATCTATTCCTTAAATTAATCAAACATTGGAATATAATTTTTAAAATTTACTTCTTTAACAAATTAAATAATGAAATAAAATTTTTGTACTATTTTATTCATTGTCTATTCCATCGCCATGTAATAACGATTGTTATTTACTCAAAATTTATTTTATGATTCGAACATGTTATAAAAGTGGGCCTTTGGCCCCTTCCCCTATCAAAAAAAAAAATGTTATAAAAGTTATTTAAAAACAAAAACATGTTATAATAGTTATTTAAAAACATACTATTTGAATATTGAATCAATTTTTTTTTCTTTTTCTTTTTTAAAAAGTTGAATCCCTAACTTTAAAGGTTGATTCACCTTGATCTGATAGAACATTTGAGATGATATAAATCACAATAGCTCAATGACTCAATAGGCATGATCAAATATCAATGGTAAATGTAATTAATTATTTTACTCTGGAGAGAAATTAAACCTCCCATTACATATCAATGTTTTATTACCCAAAAAGAATTAAAAATTATGTGCCACTCTCTTTTCTGACCCAAAGATCTATTTAGTAATTCAAAAAATATTTTCAGAAAAATAAATATATTTTCATTTACTTTATTTTTCTTTTAAAAGTCATAGACGGGAAAATTCTGGAATGTTTAAACTAATATTGTCACAAAATATACAATATTATTACAGCCTAAAAATAACGTAACCGGATTACCGGAATATTGATGACAGGTTGACGGTGGGATGCTACGTGGGGCCCAAATACAATCGTGCTGAATTGGCATGATTCCATTGGGTCTGACAGCCCATTACGCGCCATTTACACCCTTCCAGATTTCTTGCAACCAAATTTCTTGAATCCTCCTCAATTTGCTTCTTCTCCAAAACCCTACCATTCTCTTTGCTTTCTTACTTCACTTTCTGTATACAGAAGCCAAGCTCAGATTCGAATTCTTTGTCTCAGAAAATCAGGCGCTTTTACTCCTGCCCACCCCTAAAAGATCAAGACTTGATTTGATAATTTGTCTTCACGAAATGGATGATGTGAAGGATAAATTCAAAGGGTTCATGAAGAAAATGAACAATCAGATTTCTTCTTCTTCTTCTTCTGGAAAATTCAAGGGTCAAGGCAGAGTTTTGGGTTCATCTTCGTCGGGACCAACCGCCAATTCCATTCCGAGTTATTCGAATCCGAGGCCGAATCAACCCACGAATTCTAAACCTGCGGAACAAAGAGCTGAGAAAAAGCCCGAAATTCGGGTTGATTCGGAGGAAAAAATCCAGCGAAAGCCTGAGATTCGTGCTGATCAGGAGGCGAAGGTTGAATCGAGAAGTGGATTTGATCCTTATGGTTCGTTGATTACCTCGGGTAAGAGAAACCCTAATGGCTATGAGCTGAATGTGATTGAATGCCCTGTTTGTGGAAGAGGGTTCGGTTCCGAGGAAGAGGTGTATGCTCATGTGGAGAGCTGTTTGAGCTCCGGAGTGAGCAATGTGAATGTTTCCAATGATCCCGAGATAGGCGAGAAGGGAATTGAGGTGAAAAGTGAATTGGAAGCTTGTGTTTCCACTTATCTTTCTGGGAAGCCCTCAGAAGGGTCTCTGGAAATCGTGCTCAAGCTCTTGAGGAATATCGTAAAGGAACCCGAGAATGCAAAATTTAGGAAAGTTAGGATGGGGAATCCAAAGATAAAGGAGGCGATTGTCGATGTGGCTGGAGGTGTGGAGCTCTTGGAGTTTGTGGGGTTTGTATTGAAAGATGAAGGTGGGGAAATGTGGGCTGCCATGGATGCTCCTTCAGAAGAAGGAATCGTTTTGCTTAAGAACACAGTTTCATTTCTGGAGCCCCAAAAAGTCGAGAACTTTCAGTCGAAAGCTCCTGCTAAGGCAGAAGAACCGGTTGAACCAAAGAAGATCGATAGACAGGTATGCCTGTTCTTGTGTGCTTTTGTAACAAAGTTATTCTTTTTTATGCTCTCCTGCATTTTACTGCCATAATTAGTACTCTGGAATCTAGATGTTAGAAGATTATAATAAAAGATAAATGGTTGTGAGTAGAGTTGCTTCAAAGATTTGCATATTGCGGTGATGATGATGAGAACTGAATGAATTGTATTGAATTAACTTAATTCCAAAGATACAGGATACAGGAATATATATAGTGAACAATTTTCTTTAATCCACTAGGTCCGAGTGTTCTTTGCTGTGCCTGAAAGTGTTGCAGCTAAAATTGAGCTGCCTGATTCTTTTTTCAACCTGTCACGTGAGGAACTGAGAAGAGAGGCAGAAATGAAGAGGAAAAAGATTGAAGAATCCCAACTTTTGATTCCTAAATCGTACAAGGAAAAGTTGGCAAAAGCTACAAAAAAGAGGTATACGAAAACTGTCATCCGGATTCAATTTCCAGATGGAGTTGTACTTCAAGGAGTGTTTTTGCCCTCGGAGCCAACTAGTTCCCTTTATGAGGTTAGTTCTCTTCAATATGCAACATACCTTCTTTCTTGTTATTCAACGTAGAAATCATGTTATTATGACGGATGTGTGAATATTCATTTCCTAAATTTTCCCGTGTTTGATTTAGGCATGATAATTATGGGATTTGGTAGTAGAAACATTTTGAAGGAAAATCTTTGCATTCTCTTAACTGCCCAGTTTCTCGTTATAGGTTACATGCCATATTCGTTTGAAATAAATGCCGTTAGGGATCATTTGATACAAGATCTAGTGAAAGTAGATTGCGCAATCCATATTATATTGGATTTTATTATTAAATTGACTTCGAATATTCTTTCCTACACAGTTTGTGAGCTCTGCATTGAAGGAACCAAGCTTGGAGTTTGAACTTCTGCATCCAGTGGTGATTAAACGCCGTGTAATACCATGTTTCCCTGCAGCGGGGGAGAAAGCCAGAACGCTCGAGGAGGAGGATTTGGTTCCCGCTGCCCTGATAAAGTGCAAGCCTATCGAGACTGATTCTGTTGTCTTCACGGGTCTCTCCAATGAACTGCTCGTGATCAGCGAACCCCTCGTGAGTGAAAATGCAGTGGCGCCGTAGTGAGTCATTCAAAACTCGATTGAAAAGTCAGTTGCAAAAAGTACTGGTTTGAGGTTTGAGGTATATGATCTGATGACATGAAGATGGCAATCCCTTTATGAACTTTTATAGTTGATTTTTCATACTTTTCCTTCTTTCATAAATGATTTCAACAGGTAGATCAAATGTACAGTTTAATTGCTTGATACCTCCTTTTGGAATCAAAGTAAAACTTTTACTAAATAATTTTTTTTTTTTTTTTTTGGGTGGTATGAGTTTGCTGATTAAATTGTTCTCATTAAACCCCCACCCTGTCACTGAAATATAAAAGTGAGGTTTATCAGCTCGGATAATGATTGCAATTTTGCTTGTAACTTTTACCTGCTACCTCAAGGTGCACTCGACAAATCGGTCAAATTTTTCCATAATTAATTGACTCAAATAAAAAAGGCTCACAAGGAGGTAAATTAAAAGGTCAATAGACAAAACATTCAAATACAATCCTTTTAGCATTCAAAAAAAATACAATCCTTTTATGTAATTTTAGATGAATCTGAATTATAGAATATTATTCATACTTACGTTTTTTCTCTCTCTCCCTTTGAATTGTTTCAAATGGGCTGATTGACTCACCATCTATCTAGTAATTATTTAAATTGGACTGAGTTAGTTTGATTAACACATGAGTTTGATTGAGATGTGTTAAACAATAAAATTTTTGGCTCGGTTTGGTCCCGACTATAACCCAAAAACATTAGAAAACATTTTTCTTCTTCAAATTTATTTAGTTTAGACTTATTATATTTATTAATGACCGATTAAAATATGAATTGAGTAAGACCGAACCAAATAATAAAAATCATAGTCTGGCCCAAAACCTAAAAAAAAAAATTATTTTTGTTCTTTAATTTCTTTAGTTCAAAGTCGATACATTCGTCAAATCTTGATCAAATATGCGTCAAGTCATGCCAAATCAAATACTAAAAATCTTGATCCGTCCCGCCACATTCACAAAATTAAAAAAAAAAAAAAAAAAAAAAATCTTGAGTTTAAAATTATTTATATTTATCAACTTATTTTATTATAATAAGTTACAAGCTAAGTTAAAAATGACTTATTTACATCTTTTTATTATAATTATTATTAATATTTATAACAATTGCAAATTTTATTTTTATATAAATAATATAATAATTATTATCATTATTAAAATAATTAATATTTTATAAGAAATAATTTTGTAATGGATTTATGTCCATATTTAAAATAAAAAATCAATTAGAAAAATGCAATTATCAACTGGTCATAGAGGTGAAAGTTTAGAAGAATGACCATGGATCGAGTCTCAGCAGCGGCAGTGCGCACTAAACAAATGTCTAGTCTCCGTGGATTACCATGATTTATAGAGGACTCCTTGTGTGCACTAAACAAATGTTTAGTCTCCGTGGATTACCATGATTTATATCTTCTCAGATACTCTGTCGGGCCGGAGTGTGGGGAAATTGATATATTCCACTTATACTAAAGACTAATAGGCATGCGCTTGCAAATTTGCAATCCATCCTTTATAGGATAACAAGATAATTTAGTGATGATGATTGCGTTTGGTGTAGTTATCTAACTATGTATTTTGTACTGTATGAGTCAAGAAATTAGTGCTGGATAGATGGAATTATGAGCACCAATGATAATAAAGAAGAATTGATGCTGAATGAGAAGATTGATGGAAATCAATTAGTTTACCAATAATTTTTAGAATTATCCACTAAAATTATGAAACATTTAGTTACCATAATAAATCTTTATGGCATTTAGTTCAAGTAATTTGAGATCACTTGGATTATGTGAGGAGGGTAATGTTATATTAAATTATTCAGTTCAAGTAATAATCTAAAAACAAGGTGATGTAAACTCAAATCCTAACTATAATCCAAAAATTAAAGTCGTTGCCTCTTGTCGGCAATTTGCATGGTGAAGCGAGTTGGACTAGCTTGCACTCTCGTTTGGTTCGCTGAAAAATATTTGAAGGGAAATGGAATTGAAATTCCATGAAAAATAAATTCTAAGGAAATAGATTCCATTGTTTGGTTGGTGGAAAAGAAATTACTGGGAATATGAATTCCATTGTTTAGTTGAGTTTGGAATGGTAAGGAATAATGTGTATAATGACAAATATAACCCTACACAACAATAATTATTAGGACTCTATCATCATTAGTATTCGTTACCTATTATTATTAGTAATTAGTATTCGTTACCTATTATTATTAGTATTCGTCTTGTAATAGGTTTATTATTCACTACTATATATACTCCTGTACAGACTCATTATTATTCCTTCAGATATATCGTATCCTCATCTGGTATCAGCAGGTTTCTCTCTCCTCTCTCTAATGGCGCACCTCGGATCTGATGACGGCTCTGTTGGTAGTTCTGAACGGACCGTTTCCGAGGCCGCGCTTGTTGCACCGCTGCAGTCGGGGGTGTCTTTCTCTTCGGCGCATCACTTCGTCTCCATCAAGTTGATATCCCGCAATTTTTTGTTTTGGCGTACTCAGCTTCTTCCGTTCTTGGATGGCCAAGGGTTGTTGGGTTTTGTCGATGGTACTTCGGTATGTCCGCCGATCACCGCGCTTGCCGTGCCGCCTGCCGAGGGAGCTGTTCCTGCCGTGCCTTCGTCGGCTTCGTCTTCCGCTGCTCGGAGTGCATGGCTCCGTCAAGATAAGGTCGTGCTCTCCTTATTAATCTCATCTTTGTCCGACGAGATGATGCACCTCGCAATCGGTAAGTCCACTTCTCGGCATTTGTGGTTAGCAATCGAACAGGTTCTTGGTTCGACTACACGGGCTCGTGCCCTCCGGTTGGTGGGTGAGTTGCAAGGATTACGGCAGGGGGATGCTTCGATCCCGGACTATCTTGGCCGTGCGCAGGTGCTTATCGAGGATTTAGCGCTTGCCGGCCGTCCGGTGACGCTAGAGGATTAGAATATGTATATATTCCGAGGCTTGCGGTCCGAATATCGTCCTTTGGTGGCGTCGCTCACAAGGGGTGCTCCGGTGTCTCTGCCCGAGCTATCCGATTTTCTTGTTTCGCAGGCTTTTATATGTGCCGATGATGCTGGTGATGTTGCTGCTGCTCCGGTCGCCATGGCGGCTCAGCGAGGTGGAGGCCGTTCGGGCGGGCAGCAGCGTGGAGGCGGCAACCGCGGCCGTGGTCGCGGCAAAGGGCGTGGCCATGGTCGTGGCGGTGCTGGGGCTGTCCAGTGCCAGATCTGCTCCGGCGAGGGCCATTCGGCCGCTTCGTGCTTTCGCCGGTACGATGGAGCTCCGGGGCCGAGAGCGCATGTTGCGTATCCTGTGGATGATGCGGCTTCGGTTAGCACTCAGCAATGGTTTCCCGACACTGGTGCGTCGAACCATGCCACCCCAGATCCGTCTTTGATGTCCTCGACGGTCTCTTATAACGATCCGGATCATCTTCGTGTTGGTGACGGTAAGTGTTTACCTATTGTTGGTACTGGTTCGTCTTCGGTAGCCTCTTCTAAAACACTGTTTCGGTTGTCTGATGTTCTTTTTGTTCCTGGGCTTTCTGCGTCTTTATTATCTGTGCAACGGTTTGCCCGTGATAATAATGTATTCTTTGAATTTCACCCTGATTGTTTCTTTGTGAAGGATCGTTCAACCAGGGAAGTTTTGTATAGAGGGCAGGCTTCGGGGGGTCTCTATTCTTGGCCTGTTTCTCGTTCGAGTCCCGCTGCGTTAGTGGCTTCGCGTGTCTCCTCTGACGTTTGGCATGGTCGGTTGGGTCACCCTCATCCTCGTGTCTTGCGGCAGATTTTGAATTCGTGTTCCATTGATTCTAGTTTTAGTAATAGTTCGGTGTCGTGTCGTGCTTGTATGCTTGGGAAATCATCTCGGTTTCCCTTGCCTCGTGTCAATACTACTACGTCGCATGTTTTAGAGCTTATTTATACTGATATTTGGGGCCCATCGCCTTTTCTTTCTGTCAATGGTTTTCGTTATTTTGTTTTGTTTGTTGATGACTACACACGCTATGTATGGTTTTATCCTATGTGATTAAAAACTGATGTGTATGCTATCTTCGAGTAGTTTCGGTCACTAGTTGAGCGTTCATATGGTCGTAAGGTTGTCTCTATACAATCTGATTTAGGGGGAGAGTATAAACGGTTGCACCGTACTTTTGTCTCTTTGGGTATCAATCATAGGCAATCTTGTGCCTATACCCATGAGCAGAATGATAGAGTTGAGCGTCGGCATCGTCACGTTGTGGAAACGGGTCTGGCTCACTTGGCTCAGGCTTCGGTTCCACAGCGATATTGGGATTATGCCTTTGAGACTGCGGTCTATCTCCTCAATAAAATGCCTACTCGAGTTCTAGACAATGTCAGTCCTCATTATCGTTTGCATCATTCTAATCCTTCTTATTCCTTCTTGCGTGTGTTTGGCTGTCTCTGTTATCCTCTGTTGCGCCCGTACAATCGTAACAAGTTGCAGTATCGGTCATCCCCGTGTGTGTTTCTTGGTTATCCGTCTTTGTTTCGTGGCTATCGTTGTTTAGATCCTGCTACTAACAAGGTATTCATTTGTCGTCATGTACGGTTTGATGAGACCGTATATCCGTTTGCTTCTTCTATGCCTTCTCAGGTCTCTAGCTCTCGCCCGGTTGAGCCGTGGGGTGTTGGTGCCGTTCGGGTTGGTGTTGGCTCCGATGTTTGTCCCACTGGACTTGATCCTCATCCAGAGTTGGACGCGGATTCCGGGGCTGCCGCAGCTGGTTCAGATTCTCGCACCGTGACTGCTACGGCTCCGGAAGGGGCGGTCTCGGGTGCTCCTAGCGAAACCTATTCAGCCTCGGTCTCATGTCATGGCAACCCGTTCTCAAGGACCGACGCAGCATGTGGCTCTTATGACTGTTCCTGAACCGACTTGTTATTCTCAGGCAGTTCGGTATCCGGAGTGGCGTGAGGTCATGGATCTTGAGTTTAATGCCTTGCTCCAGAATCACACTTGGCGTCTGGTTAGTCGTACACCTGGCATGAATGTTGTGGGGTGCAAATGGGTGTTCAGAACGAAGCGCAAGGCCGATGGCACGATTGAGCGGCACAAGGCTCGATTGGTCGCAAAGGGTTTCAATCAAGTCGCTGGGCAAGACTTTTTTTAGACTTTCAGTCCTGTTGTCAAACCCACCACCGTGCGGCTTCTTCTCTCTTTAGCCGTTTCTCGCGGTTGGGTCATTCGGC